CTCCCCCCCCAATCAGGGGCAGGGCCATCCAACCTCCTGTGGCCCCTTCCACCCACCAGCTCTGCCTGATCAAGCCCCATCTGGGCAGGCTGGCCAGACCCCACCTGTGCACGAATTCGTGCACCCGACCTCTAGAGTGTGTGTGTGTGTGTTTGTATTATTTGACCTGGATTTCGCCAATTTAAGAATTTTTTTGTGGTTAACAATATTTTTATTAGCATTTATATTAGAATACCAAATACTGCATATGAAGCCGTAGGTAATTGCAATGATTATTACATCGTATGATATTGTTTTGTTTTCCAGACCACATGAACTAGATTTTAAGTATGTAATGAAAGTGTCATCTCTGAAAAAAAGACTACCAGAAGCTATCTTTAGAAAACAGAATTACTTGGAGCAAAAAGGTTTGTTCAAATGTAATGATACACTGTGTATGTGCTGGACTTTGTTCCATTTATTTCCCCCTCTTATACACACATTTTTGTTTTGCTTTAAGTGATTCTTAAAAAGGCCATTTGTAAAAGATGCAAATGTTGCTATGAGATTCGGTTCCTTGGAGGCCAACTAGAAACTGAAAAATAGTTTCATGTAAGATTGCAAAGTCTAGCTTTAACCCTTCCTATATAATAAAAGCCCAGCAACAGAATGGCAGAATGACCGGTCGACCAGTCGCTATGACATGCACTGACCACCAGGGGGCAGACACTCCAACTGGTAGGTGAGCTTGCTGCTGGGGTCTGGCCAATTGGGACTGCGCAAGATGGGCTGGACACACCTTAGAGCCCTCCCACCGTTCCTCCCCAGCTGGCCAACCTCCTGCATCCCTCCCCAGCCCCGATTGTGCACCGGTGGGGTTCTTCGGCCTGGCCTGTGCCCTTTTGCAATCCAGGACCCCTCTGGGGATGTTGGAGAGCTGGTTTCGGCACGATCCCACTCAACGCAGGAGCTGCTCCCTAATGGTCAGTGCACTCCCACAGGAGGAATAGTGCTCAGCCAGAAACCGGGCTCACAGCTGGCGAGCGCAGCGGTGGTGATGGGAGCCTCTCCTGCCTCCATGGCAGCGCTAAGGATGTCCAACTGACCCCTTAGGCCTGCTCCCCCTAATCCATCAGTCGGACATCCCCCAAGGGTTCCCGGACTGTGAGAGGGTGCAGACCAGGCTGAGGGACCACCTTCTCCCCCCCCCCCCCCCCCCCTTCAGTGCACAAATTTCGTGCACCAGGCCTCTAGTTGATTAATAAGATTATATAAATTTCAAGTGTGCTGTACTATAATGCATCATCCGTATATTGCATTGTTAGCTCATCACCCAGAGTTTAGTTATGTACTTTGAAGTGAAGGGAGAAAAGCAGAAAACCTGAGAAGGAAATTTCTCTGTCATTTAGATTGATTCATGGAACATTGATGTTTATATTATTTATATAGTATTTATTTACCTTGTTATAGTAGTGTCAGTATAAATGAAAGCATTGTTTTCAATTTTTTATTGATTTCAGAGAGGAAGGTAGAGGAAAGATAAAAACATCAGTGATGAGAGAGAATCATCTATCAGCTGCCTTCTGCACGCCCCCTTTTGGGGATCGACCCTGCAATCCTGGCATGTGCTCTGACCAGGAATTGAACTGTGACCTCCTGATTTATAGGTCAATGCTCATCACTGAGCCACACCAGCCAGGCTATACAATATAACTTTTTTTAAGGTGTTTTATAACCAAGGACATTGAATGATAATTTTTTAATTGTATACTTAGTTTTCTGACTTTTTATTATATAAAATGAATAAATTGGTTATTTTAAAAATACAATAGCATTTAAAATAAGAAATGTTCTGTTTTTCTGATCTATCCACTGAGCCAAACCGGTTTTGGCGAATGATAATTTTTTAATTGTATTCTTAGTTTTCTGACTTTTTATTATATAAAATGAATAAATTGGTTATTTTAAAAATACAATAGCATTTAAAATAAGAAATGTTCTGTTTTTCTGATTTTGTCCAGTCTGTTGCCAAGATATGTACTTCAATATGTATGAAGTGGAATTGTCAAACAAACAAGGGGACAAAATAGATAAACTAACCGAAGTCATTAAAAATAAGCAATTGGTAAGAGTCCATTTAAAATAATTAGTTTTTTCCTTAAATTGAGATTTTGATATCTAATTAATAGTTGCTGCATCTAGATTAAATTATTCTAGTTTACTGAAAGGATTTTTATCCTTTAATTTTTATTGATATATATAATATTTATTGACTGATCTTTTCATCTTTGTATCTTAGTTTGTCTTTCACTAGTGAGTTTATACTCCTGATTTTAAGAATAAGAGGACAATTTTTCTCATTCTTTTGTTGTTTTTGTTTTATGACAGAATTGAGTAGATCCCAGTGTTTTTGAATTAATCAAAGGACCACTTGTGAAATTGTTCTTTAAACGTGACCTGTGTCAATCCATAGGTTTAAAAAAGGGGGGAAAAGTTGCTGTTTTTACTGTTTTTATAGTATAGAAAGTAAGACTACTGAGAAATAACCAAATACCTCTCTGTCATGTTAATCAGAGTTCCACAGTGTCAGGGTAGGAATAAATGCTGATTCTATTTTGAGTGATTTCTAAACATCCCAGAAGAGATGGTGTAGGTGTAGGACAGTGACCAAACAAATTCTGAGCCCTTTAGTGACATGATGGACTATACCCTATAGTAGGTAGCAAAAAAATTAATAAATTAAAATCAAACATGTATAGCAGCTTTGAACGTAAGCTTAAGTCTTAGGGATAGCGTCAGTTCACATACCGTATTTGCCGGCGTATAAGACGATTTTTTGGCCCTGAAAAATATGCCTCCAAGTGGGGGGTCGTCTTATACGCCAGGTACACTTCAGATAGACTGCCCATAGTGCTTGCCCCGTGCCATAGTGGCCTCCCGATGCCCGCCCACTTCATTCCACATACCGTTCAGGCATCAGCAGCGCTGCTGGGTGTATGCTCGGCTGTTATGCGATTTTGCTGTTATGCGATTTTACCACACTCGCAAAATCGCACACAGCCGACCATACACCCAGTATGATAGCGCAAAATCACGAATCGCGATACCATACTGGGTGTATGGTTGGCTGTGTGCGATTTTGCGAGTGTGGTAAATTCGGGTTACCGTATATTTCTTTACATATGCATTGAAGATTCGCGATTTTGCGCTATCATGGTGCCTGTTAGAATGTTGAAGAGCTCGCACTTGCGCACTAGTGAGGTCCCAGGGAGATGCTGATGCAAGGGTGGACCAGACTGCTATAGTGACAGGGCGGGCAAACAGGGAGCAGGGACCAATCAAATCAGGCTTTGTATACAGCCAACAGCCAACCACAATACTGCCCCATTGTACAGTACAGCATAGAAAATGTCGACCAGTCAAACCCCTATCATCCCTATCATGGCACCAAGATGTCGTTGATGAACTTTTAATATCAGATGATGAAGAGGAGTTTGAAGGCTTTTAAGGTGAAACTGTCACGCCAGCAAACTTGCTAGGGACTTGCCCAGGAGAG